TGTGTGTGTGTGTTGTGTGTGTGTGTGTGGTGTGGTGTTGTGTGTGTGTTGTGTGTGTAACTAAATCATTTCTTATATTACAAACATCTTTCTAGGACTCGTTTTGGGCCGTTAGCTTCTGCCTCTAGCTAAATGGTGGACAGTACAGCCAAACTGGTTCTGTAAATTGTCAAATTGTTTCTCATTTTTGGTGTCTTAAACACCACCACACCTTGCCATAAGTTCACCTCAAACATAGACGGCTTCCCATCTTTAAACCTCCCCTCCACATCCCTCACATCCGTAACCTAGGCACCATATTTACAAACCTCTCCTACAGACAAACACAATCAAACAGATCACCAAGACAGCTTCTATCACCTCAAAAACATTGCCCTGTCTACGTCCATCCCCTCCCCTACTGCTGCGAATCACTCATCACCTCCCTTCTCGACTGTTGGCAACACCTCCTGTTCACTGCAAATCAAAACTTCAATACATCCAGAACTCCGCCGCCCGTCTACTCACCCACACCCGGATCCGTGAACACATACCCCGTCATGCTCATCAAGCTCCGACTGGCTCCCCATCCCCCAGAGATTCAGGTACAAGATTCTCCTGAGATACAAATCCTCCATTACCTGCCCCATCCTAACTGACCTCCTCCACAGCACACTCCCACTCGCTCCCTCGCTCTGCACTGCGACCTCCTGTCGCCTCCCCACTCCGGACCAACCTTCAAGTCCCGGGCGGCAGAGCCTTCTCCGTGCTGCACCCACTCCTCTGGAACTCACTACCCGATCCATCAGAGATTCTTACTCCCTCACAGCCACACGAACATCACTCAACACACCTTTCAACACTGCATTACACCATCTGACCCCCCCTATTTTCTGTTTTGTTTATCTCTTTTTGTATTTTTCTTTGTTTTGTTTTTTTAATTCTCTGTCAAAGCATCTTTGAGTTTCCTGAAAAGCCTGAAAGTCTCATGTATTATTATTATTATTATTATTATTATTATTAAATAAACAAATACATACAATCAGACAAACTGTCTCAAACCAAACGGTCTGATCCATTAAACATTTAAAAACAACAAATCATGAAGTTTCCCCCCTTTTCTTTGATTTCTACGTTACTGGAAAGGGTGATAACATCACTAGTCAGTGAACCTCATACCTGCTGCCAGAACACAGAGGGATGTGTTTGGTCATGCCCTAATGAGTAACTACCTCAACTGAGGACTACAAGCAAAAACACAGACACTCCCACACTGAGTGGATTACAATACGTAGGAGGTATTTTAGGGCCAGATCAAGGTTGTATCATCTCTTTCTGCTGTGGTCTATATTTACCTGAGCTGACAAATACAACTTTCATATGTTTGTTCATGGATTTGGCCGTTATCTTGGTCACCCTCAGTCACAACTGTAGTCTTATATTTACACTGGGATATCATGGTTAGTAATTCAGTCTTTTAACTTTATTTTATAGGCATTTTCAAACTATAACCTAAAAAAAACACTTGCTGTTAATTGTTAAAAATGTGGGTAAACCTAGCTACCGGTAGTAGAAAAGTATATTGGTAATTGCATGGCTTTTATTGTAAAACAAAACCATTAAATAGGCTTCGCCATAGAGCGAGGTGACATTAAACAACATAGTATAAGCAGCATTAGTGCAATGAATTGGAACATATTTGAATTGTTTCTCTGTTTCCAGCCCCTGACAGCATGAAATAACACTTGTGATTGCTTAGTGACAGCCAAGAGTTGCTTTATGCACTTTACTTAAAAAAAAAAAAAAAGGGGTGCACAAAACATGCACAGTGGACATTGCTACCGATTAAGTGACATGATAGCAACAGTAGGACACAGTAAACAAACTTTACAGACAATGTTCCAGTAGATATGTACAGATATTGATTGTATGCTCCATAGGTTTAATAGAGGGCTTTTAGAAGGCAGGATCCAGGCTCAATAATAGCAGAGTAAAGGAAAGCACACAGTAAAAGGGATGAAAGTGAATGGTAAACACTAGCCTTGAGTGAACACTGAAAATTGAAGGACTATATTTTTATAGTCATTGAAAATCCATTAAACATGAAATCAATACCATGATCAATATTGGTTTATGTGTGAGTAACTCAAGATACGTGTCAACGCTTCCTGTCATACCACCCACAGCTTTCTTTATGGGTCAACATGGATAGATGGCTATAAGCCGGCTGTGCAATGAGTACTTTCTGCGTCACGTTCCCTTTACTGTATTGACAAACTAAGGTTACAGTATTAATCCAGTAAATAAAAAGGCCACAGCAGTGTGGCAAAGTCCAGCGGATGTGATTGATTTTTGATCAGTCTTTCTGTCCTTTAAGATCTTGGTTATAACAGTCATTCCAGTTTCTAAATGAGCGGACTACGAGGTTTCGTACCAGCAGTATTTGTTACGTGTATTTCAGTTCCAGTTTCTGGGCAGGTTGTCGAGGATCCTGCGCCGATGTGAAGGATTTGTCACTCCTGCGGCGCGTAAATCCTCCTCAGTGATACCACTGCAGGGAGGAAAAATGGCACAAAATCAAACCTGACTGAAACTTCAATAGTTAATTACTTAGTTCGTAAGGTTCCTGTAATCACGACCAGATTTATTTCTACATTTGTGCCTCAGTTAGGCTTTAACCGACATGTTCAGTCATCCTGACATGTTCAGTCATCTTACTTAAAATGAGCATGACTGTCACATGCACGCAGATAATTTGACCAGGCCTACAAGTGACTATTGCAAGTGTCTCATTACCACTGAGGTTATCGGTAGGGACAAATATATCTTGAGTAGTCACAGCCAGCCACAATATTTGTGTCTGAAGGTGAAATGCAGTAAATAGCCTACTTAAGTACAGCTTGGGAAACATGTTATCAGAAACAATTTTACCTGAAGTAATCCAGATCATCCCAGCCATTGAGGCTAAGTCCCAGGGTGTATTTCTGGAGACCCAGAGCGCTGAGAAGCTCCCGCACGGTTTCTGGTGCACATTGGAGGACCGAGACCTGCGTGGAGAAAGCAGACAGAAGTTTTACAGAGAACAAGCCACGTCTTTTAAAAAAAATGTCTTAGAGAATAGTGACCTACTTCTTTCTCCCAGCTGTAGCCTCTATCTCCATGCATAGAAGGTCCATTCCTATAATTTGGCCTATGGTTGAGTATAGATGGGCCTCTCTGCATAGGGGGGAAGAAGTCAACTTCGCTGAGGGACTTGGCCATCTGCAGAGCAGTGAGCGAGTTGTCTCCTGAAGTTCCAGGCGGTTGCTGATCCACTATCCAGGGCACAGAGGCCTGAGAGTGTGCTGAGGCAGGGGGGGTGTGGGGGAACGCTGACGGCACCTTGGAGGCCCGGATAGGACTGGTTCTCTCTGGGAGAAGCTGATGATGATCCCTTCTGTTTTTTTCCCTGATGATTGCTGATTGGTTCATATACAAGTTCCTCAGGTTCTTGTCTGGCAGTACGGAGTCTTGAACGTTTTTCTTACATTGGTATTTGTCTCTGGGTTGTGAGGTCTGTTCCTGGTACTGTGACATGGTGTTGCCTGAGGGTGGAGGTATGGGAGATGGGCTCTTGGCTGGGAAGAGCTGATAGGAGGAGTTGGTTTGGGGTGTATGATGGTCAGTGGTTGGAGTGTACTGGGGTGGGATGGCTGGAATTTCAATCTCTGTAAAGTCTGATCTGCGACAGGGTCTTCTGTCGAAGCCCTGACGTCCTGAGATTTTTGGGAGCTGCAATGCCTCATTTCCAGACCAGATGACCTGAGGGTCCCTCAGCTGAGGGAGAGCCTCCTCCACCCTGCGTGTTACAGACACACCTTCAAAGATGAAGTAGGCTGGGTTGGTGTAGCTGCTTGCAGTGAGTTTAGGAGGAACTGCCAAAGACCTGCAATGAAAATTAATACTTTTAGAATGTTTACAATTGAGTGTTTTTGTACTAAATGTGACCTCTATTCTCAATGAATGTCTTTGCATTATTTATTTTTCTTCTCTGTAGTGATCATATCAAGTGTGTCACTGTGATAAAAAAATGTATTTGGGCATGAGGCTTGAGTTACAGATGGAAGATGAAATACAATTAAAGAGTCCAGCTTGAGTCATACGGCCATGATTTTAACACTACACACCAGCGTAAAAAAAAAAAAAGTTAACTTGAAAAACCATTAAAAGTTTGCAGTATAGTTTTGGAAATATATATTGTAACTATATTCATAGGATTTAGGAACTGAGGATTCTTTAAAAAGTGAGTCTAACTCACTCAAGTCTAGCTTGGGTCAGTGCCATTTAACACTGATAGTGGTGGCTGTGGCTTGGGGGGGGGAGGGTAAGTGGGTGCCGACCAGGAGGTCAGTGGTTTGATCCCAAGCCCTTGCAATCAACAAGTCAAAGTGTCCTTGGGCAAGATTCTAAACACCACATTGCTCCAGAAGGTCTAGGGTACTCAAGGGTATGTAAGTTGTGGGAAGTTTTAAAAAAAAAACTTGGGAGAACTTTTCCTTGAGAGGCTTGCTGCCTTACCCTGATGCTCAGAAACATTAAGAGGTGCTCACCTGTTTATTGGGACACGTGTAGATGCAGGAGACATGTGTCCTCTGGCAAGACCTTTGTCATTTTTCTCAAAGGAGAACCACTCTGAAAAAAGTCAAATCAGAGGAAATAAACACCTTTCATAATCATCCACACTTCCTTAAAGTCTGTTTGGTGCCTGTAGGGCAAGGCCATGCCAGTTGCCAATCACACAGCATGGTGATGTTTGTTGGAGGGTCTGACCTGGTGACATGCTTTCAACCTGCCCTGTATCACTGTCTCAGGATGCATCTGCTCAGTGTCAGTCAATCAGGAGCCAAAAGAGGAAGCGTTCGATAGACTAGCAAGGATAAAGTCAGGCCAGGGGTTATTATGAAACCAAATAGAGGAAGCAATGGGAGACTCACGAGGGAGTCAAAGAAGTCAGGGACAGTGGAGATGAACGTTTAGTGGGAAGTGATAGTGCAAGCATGGCAGAGGGTAGGAGAGGTTCAGGCTGACGCACCATAGGTCTTCTCCCGTGTTCCCCGTCTCTCCTTGGGCACATGAACCCTGACGCGTCCTCTTATCGAACCCATCTCCTCACCTCGGTGACTCAAAAAGGTCTCAAACTGCTCAGATGCACCGGTGAGTGAGCGCAGAGCCACACAGCATTCCCCTATAAAACAACATTTATAGATTATTTATAAGATCAATATGACATTTCACACTGAAACAAAATGTAGAGTGCAATCTATTCTTCTAGATGGTTGAGCGGGATTTTCTTAGACCTTGATTGACTGTTGTTAAACTACATTGAAGGTCAATCAAATTTGATTTGGAGAACTAAATCATATCTTTATATACAACACTTAGTGCCTCAAAATACAGTATTCCATCCACTTTAATCTGAACATTTCCTGCTTCTCGTATAGATGAAAAAACTCTCCGTAGAAAAAATCTAATTAAACCTTTAACAAATCAATGTGCCATTTTGAAAGATATTCAATACAACGTTTTGGAGGTCAAGTTTAAATTAAATTAGCCAAATGTATCAAAATCTAATGAAAATATCTAGAATAATAGATAGCACTTGTGATAAGAGTGGTAAAATAAGACAATTTCATGTTATGATTAATTATTAGACAACATTTATTTGCCGTGACCAACCGTATGACTCAAATCCGTCACATGACTTGACAGACAACAGCAGGTGCTGGTCCTGAAGATACTCCATGTCAGACTTGATTGGAAAAAGCTATGACAGACATAAAAACATCAAGGTAAGACATTGATTTAAAAAACAAACAAATATTTTAAGCCGTTTCCAAATGAGTCTCTAACCTTTGGCAGTTGTTTGAAGGACCAGCCCAGTTTGAGAAATCTGGGAACATCACAGCTCTGTGAGTCATTCTCACTTGATCGCCGTGTATCTGCGAAGAAGACAGGAAGGAATCTTTGCCACTGTGATGCATAATGGCTTTAATAATTTTAAAAAAAACATTGCAACCATACCTTCGATGCAAGGAGAATGAAAATCAATGAAGAATTTGGCCTTGCTTGCCGTCTTCACAATGGCCTCGATGCCTTCAAGCTCTATCCAGGCCCTCTCCACGCCTGACTTTGTTTCTGTGCGAGACAAAGGCAGAACAACACTGTTCACTTGATGAAGGGGTTGAAACATATTCTCTCGGTTTGTGTCCAAAAGGCAACAACAATGACAGCACCTGTTTTGGAGCTGAACTGTGACGTGACTCCCACTTGGAACGTGGCAAAAACAGGAGAGTGATCGCTGGTGAAGATGTCATCCGTGCAACCTGGTGGGACACAAATAGAACTTTATTATGAGAACACTCAATATCTGATATGTATTATAGCTAAGCATGAGAGGATATTAAAATGCACATTTCGTAAATAGATAAGCCAAATAATTGTGATTCCTAATCCTGAGTATTTTTAATTCCTCACAGATTTGACACTTTGGGGCAAAATCCTTTTTAGCTGAAAAACAAACAATCCAACCAAATGTGATAATAATAAATCATAAGTTATCCCTGCATATATAGTGTATTAATGTTCTTTCTTACAAAATACTTTCTGTTTCTTTCAAATCAGGGTCCATTTTTTACACCCTTACTGTAACAGCGAGATAGACAGCATTTTCAAATCACTAATGTAAGGGTGTTAAAGGTTATCCTGAAAATGTATTTTAGGCACTATTGTGCTAGTGATACATTTCTATATAGTCGCATCTGTAACTAAAATCATATAAATTGCAAAGCACTGTAAGGCAGATGAGCTGTCAGCCATCCTGTTTTTCACAAAATGGGACAAATGGGGATACATAAAGTACTATTGCTACTATGCAGGAGTTTTAAAGTTTTCATTGTTTTCTGAGGTAGGAGACAGAAGCTCGGGCAGAATGAGAGGAAATTACTGTGTTCCTCCATGGACCACAGACCAGGATGTAGGGTTTGACCGTTGGTCTTTTAGGGTTGCTCTCAATTTGCAGATGGTACAAATAAAGAATTACCACAGATATCTGATTCGAGAGTGCTGCATCAAAATCTTTAGCTACTGTATGTCTAGACCTGTGCACTGATATCTGATGCTCTTAGGTTATGCATGACTTAACTATTTACTTTTCTACTAAAGAAATCTGAGCTTGTTTTGTCCCATTCTCCAGGTCTTACCATATGCTGTGCAGAAGATGTGTGTCTCTGGGTAAGACTTCCACAGAATCCGATCACACCACGATGGCACATTGACTCGTACCTACAGGAACAGATTCAGCTATAAAACAACAATGTACAACAAATAACATTGCCAGATGTAGAAATGGTATGCAAGGAATGGTGCTTTCATTCCTGTTATGTCAGACGCATCTTCTTTTTGACTACAGCTATTTTTAGGGATCATGGCAGCTGCTGTCTGTCACCTCTCTCTACAGACCCCTTAAATTGGATCAAGTTACACATACAAATATCTGTTTACTAATAGTAGAATTTAAACATTAGTTGTTCTTTGCTGGTACAGAATAAATTGCATATTTAGCATCACAGTCTAAAATCCTTGTGCTTTGTTTTAACTGGATATTAGCTTATCACGCTATTATGTTAAAGACGTTGTGCTGCCATTGTATTGACACACTTACCGTCCTTTATAAAACAATAGGCACACAAAATAATTATGTTTTAAATTGATAAAAGAAAAATTCAATCATTTGAAAACTCTTCATCAGGAACTTATTATAAACAAGTAAAAAGTTGTTAAGAAATATCAGTCAGGACCAAAAAAGACAGACTAACAAATGGCCTCAAATCTAAAATCCTTGAATAGTTTATGGCTTGTGTGTCCAGACATTTTTCGTCGACTACTCAGAGGTGCGGATGTAGCTTTTATTATAGGCATCTGTTCTCTTTCCTGAAGCTTAAATATTTTTTGATGGACATGTCATCCTGTTTTCTGTGGTGCGTTTGTGTTAAAAGAAAATGACTCACTCCTGAAGTTTTGTACTTTTGCCAAAGGTAGCAGTCTCTGGAGCCCCTCTCATACCGGTAGGTGGGTGGGAACGCAATCTTCTCTTCCTCTTAACCACGATAAACAGGGATAGAGAACAAAGTCAGCTAAGCCAAAGTAGAGCCGATAAAAAAAATGTCACTTATTAACTTATGATTAATTATGGAATTGCAAATAGCTTTAAAGAGCATTATATATTTTAATAAAGAACAAAGGCAAATTGCAAAGGGAAAACTCACTGAAATTGAGAAAGGACTTCCTCTTGTGTCTCTCTCGGGTCAGCTGGTCTGCACACATGAGATCCTCAAATTCCCTCTTAGAAACATGTTTCAGGATGTCCTAAAGTGAGGAACAGAAAGAAGCAGTTACATTAATGTCTGGGGATTTTTTAATAATACACCTTGAATTACACCTAGGCATTGTGCATAATGACTTCTATTATTATTGACAATTCAAGTCAGTGATTTCCAAAAGAGGATCTGTGACAAAGGTTCCTCTGAGTTACTGCAGGGGTGCTGCCAAATTACGGTTTGATAATGTTTTAAAAACACATAACATTTACATAAATCCAACATATTATGCAATCTAGCAAAGGTAAATCAACATTGATAATAGGCTTGTTGCCCATGTGTTGTGTGGAATCCTTTAAACTAGCTTATTTATGCAAAATCACTTTGTGTCACCTATCCACAATGGAAAGCTAGTTAGATGGATACATTCAGTTTTATTATTTTAATGGCAGAGAATGTAATGCACCATAAAACTATAAATTTACAGATTACATTTTAGGTCGCCTCACTTATTATTATATTACAGCTTAGTGATCCTTAGCCTACATTTTGTTTTGAAAACCCCTAATTTAAGTATATTTTGATGCTAATACTTCAGTGCTTTTACTGAAGTAACCATTTGAATGAAGAACTGTTACTTGCAACATAATATTTCAACATAGTAGTATTGCCTAAAGATCTGAGTACTTCTTCAAACACTGCCATTAAGTCAGTCTTCAAGGGTGCTAAATCAAAAATAATTAAAATAGAGCGATGAATAATAAAGAAATAAAAACAGACCTGTACGTCCAAGTCGAGTCTGTAGTTGAGGTCTCCGCACCAGAAGAGATGGGAGAAGTGCAGGCTGAGGTCAAAGGCCCCGAGCTGTTTGTCCCCCAGAGAGAGCAGCCTGAGAATGTCCACAAAGTTCTGGTTCCTCCTGAACAGGACACACATCATAAGAGACAATTGTACTATTTTATGTAATACAAAGAAATGAAACGGGAGCACACACATTTAATGTTTGTTCACAATACCTTAGGACTTTCTCACTTCCAGAGGTCAGGTGGCAGTTAACAAACCCAAAAGATGTCCCGTTAAATAGGAAAGACACACCGACTGCTCCCTTGTTTCCTGAAACAACAGAGACATTCAACATCAAACCTCCAGGTTAATATCACATTGTATTCTGTTAATCATGCACTTTTATTCCTGGCTGGCAGCACTGATACTGTACATTTTCTGTGTTTGCTCTGTCTGTATTTGTACTTGTGAGATCATGCAGAGCAGTTTACCCAAAGTGTTTCCCAGGCCAGTCTTCACACTGGCCGTGTTCACATGGCTGATGCGACTCTCGTGCTCCGGCTTCACAAACACGGCCAGCCTCATGTTCCAGAGGGACTGTACTGCCACCTAAAGGACAATGCTCCACATTACAATGAAGGACAGGAATCGTTTCCAACCAGTCAAATAAAACATAATTACTGACTTCTCAAAGGATGGGATCAATTTCTATAAAGTCAGCCTCCAAATCCAGTAGACACTGCCAGTGAAACATATATATACTCTCACATCATTCAAACAATCCCTCAAAACTCACCTTTTCACTCTTGCCTTCAACTCCTAATCAACTAACCCCTTGCCCTTATTCCTCCTAGCTTAGCACTTTCTACTTTTGTTGTTATTTAGTTTTACTTGCTTGTAAGCGCTTTGAGCACCAGGAAAAGCNTGGCCGGAAGGTGCAACATAATATATGGGGGTCGTGTAAAATCGCACACAAGCTAGAGAGCATCGCGCTCGCATGCTGCTCCGCCTCACACACCCGCCTTCTTTATGGACGGAAAACGTTACACCACACAAGAGTGTCAGGAGCGAACAACACCATATGGAGTGTCTGTAATGAAAGGGGGGAACACAGCATAGGAATCTGCTGAGTAGAGATGTGGTGTCACGCATACAGTCCAGCCACCAATGGCACGGAGCACCGGATAGGATTTAGGTTAACCGGGTAGTGTTCATGCGGTTCCGGTATGGGAAATTGCTCAGCACTGGCCTACGGGGATCTCGTGATGGGATGTTGTGGGAATGTTAATACACTGATAAAGTGACTAAAAGACCAAAGGAGCATGTTGTTCATCAGACAAAGAATGGAGTGGCTCAGATCGTACGGCGTGCGGCTGCTTCACCCGGGAGGGTCGGGTACGGCAGCACCCACACAAACACACAAGGCCAAGCAAGACATGGCGCAAACGGAAGGAAACAACATAATTAATGGGAGGATAGAGGTAAGAAATAGTGGTGAGCCACAGAGACACACGACGAATCGGCTATCGGCAGCATGCTGTTTTTGAGAAGTTATCCAAGGTGTGGGGAGACCATATGGGAGTGGTCTGTATGAAAGGTGGGGATCACCCAGGATAGGATTGTGGCGGCGAGGGCGAGGCGAGTGTGGCTGTAGCATCAGATCCAGACCCACTGAGCACGGCAGGTTAGGTTTTGCCATACAGAAGTGTCTACGCGGTATCCCCACAGCGCCGTGATCTTGGGAAGCGAGAAGCTGACGTAGCAGAGGGCTTACCCGCGCGACCGTCGTCAGGATGGGTGTCTAGGTGAGAATGGAACTTGTTCCAGGTGTCGACCTGGACAGCTCGTAAGCGACCAGCTCTGAGGATCGCGAGTTCTGAAAGGACCAGTGGGTCCGTGCACTCACATGAGGCGTAGCGCACAGTCAGAGCCAGCGCTTTCACGCTCAGGGGTTGAGGAGACATATCAGTCAGTCACAGACCTAAGTATCGAAGACCCTGAACAGGCAACCAGGAACCAGTGTCCCCGGCCGAGCCTGCGGAGGGCAACACAATAGATGTATGAGGGATGTACTCAGGTCATAACAGAAAAACAGACCTGCGAGTGGGGATGGGGTTAGCGGTGTCTGGGGTTGCTGTTTGAGGAACGCTACTCGATAAGGTGCGCGAGAGCATACTTTGTGCAGTGGATATGATCTGTAATAGAGAAAGTCATGGGATGGGTAAATGATCCGCATTATGGAAACTTTGAAGTGCGGTAGACTTGTGTGTGGCAGTGGCAGGTCACCAAGTAGCAAATGGCAATAACAGGGACATGCTTTCTCGCGTTCCTAATGAATTTTACTAGGTTCTAGTTGAGACGTGTAGAGTAGTATATTCGAGATGCCGATACCATCGTGGTATATAATATTTTAAACCCATTTACAGAGGACAATAGAAGAGAAATGTGGATTGTGAGTAGTTTAATGGGTATTTAAGGGAATACCGTCTCTGCGTATCTTAATATAAACGTGACCCAAGTGAGGCATGGATTAATGTTCATCAGAAACCTAGTGGGTGCAATGGTGCCGCATGCGTCTGAGTGAGAGTGCGCACTTTCTATCGTGACCTTTCAGACCAAGAGAGAGCGAGAGTATAGCAACTCGCTTCACACCGGGACGACGGCGGTACCAGAGCCAACACGCTTGTCGCCGCCGGAGGGTGCACATAATTACGGGGTGTAGTGTAAGAAAATTGGGTGGGATGTGTTGCGGTGCTGTTTTTTTGAGGAGCTTACCAAGGTGTGGGGAGACATATGGAGTGAGGTCCAGTAAATTGAAAGTGTGAAGCGGATACAGGGATATGGGAATACTGTGGTCGGAGTTGTTGGTGTAGTCCAGTCTCAGACAATGCACGGCAGGTTAGCGTTTTTGGTTAGGGGAAAGTGGTGTCAGGAGGGGATATCTACGTGTATGCGGAATATTGTTAGCACTGGCCTAGGGGTCTGTGAGGATGACGGTGTTGTGGTGTTTGTAACCTGTTAGGTGTAACGTGACTAAAGAATGATATGTTCATCAGACAGTGGGATGAGCTTCATGGGTAGTGCTCCTCATCTGCGCGGCCTGCTTCACTGCGCGGGAGGATCGGCGTACGAGACCGGCCATCAGCTGGCCCGCCGGATGGGTGCAACCATTAATTATGGGTGAGTGTAAGACAAATGTTGTGGGATGTGTTGGGTGCATGTTTTTTGAACGGAAGTTTACCACGGCTGTGGGGAAGACATATTGGGCAAGTGGCTGTAAATGGAAAGGTGGGATATGTCAGGTATAGGCTGGAATTGTGGGTGGGAGTTGTGGGTGTAGTCCAGTCCACCAATGCACTGGCAAGAAGCGTTTATTGTTAAGGGGATGTGTTAGGGTTCGTATGGGAATTGTTATGACCACTGGCTAGGGGTCTGTGGGGATAAAGGTGTTGTCGGTCTTCTGTCATCACTGGTTAGCTGAAGACCGAAGGGAGGAATGTTGTCATAGACTAGTGGGATGCAGACAACGAGCCAGGAGAAAAAGAGAAGCTGTAGAACCAACAACCTGCACATGACCACATAGGAGGATTTTTATACGTATATAATGATATCCCCCATCTGCGATTAAGTAACATGTTGTCACTTAATAATTCTAATATGTAGTATAAATGTATTTCGTATTTTTGAATTGTCTAAAGTCAAAATAAAAGTGCACTGCGACGCCTTGAAAGTGGTTAATATGCATCTTTAGTTTTAGTACCACCATTCCTCTTTTTATTACAATTCTTTCTATTTTAAATGGGTTTAATTAAAGTGTTCTTGATTTCAATTTAACTAGTATTTCATAGGAAAAAGAATAAGTTTTATCTGTCATTTTTCTTCCAAGCAAAGTTCAGTAAGGGTCTTTAATCATGATCTCTTATCATAATGAAGGCTGCACCAACACATAGAGACACAAAGTGGCTCATGGTTGTTGATCAGTTTCACCCTGTTGTGACGATCGAGGACACGGTTTCGTGTGTTCAGTCGGTTATTGGTTTCTGAATATGTTTAAACTACAATTGTGTGTGCCTTCAGGTGCGGATAGCGTTCCAGATGGAGGATGGCTCTCGACACCCAGGTTTCCTCTCCTGCGGACAGACTCTGGTGGGACCTGCTCCCACTTTTCCCCCAGATCAGGGTGTGTTGTGTGGTGTGTGTGTGTGTGTGGTGTGTGTGTGTGTGTGTGTGGTGTGTTGTGTGTGTGTGTGTTGTGTGTGTGTGTGTGTGGTGTGTGTGGTGTGTGTGCGTGTGTGTGTGTGGTGTTGTGTGTGTGTGTGTGTGTGTGTGTGTGTGTGTGTGTTGGTTGTGTGTGTGTGTGGTGTGTGTGTGTGTGTGTGTGTGTGTGTGTGTGTGTGTTGTGTGTGTGTGTGTGTGTGTGTGTGTGGTGGTTTGTGTGTGTCTCTCGCATTTTCTAACTTCTACACCATGGTGAGAATGTAGGGTTTAGGTTAGAATTAAGTTGGGTTAAAACCAGAGGTTAAAGTTGGAGGGCCTCATGTTGTCTCAAGCATTTTCCAGATGTTTTAATGACATGTTTGAAAGGTTTCTTTTAAACAATAATTTAAAAGTGTCAGACATTAGCTTAGTCTAAGGAACTAAGGCTTGCTGGTTCCAGACCCGACTGGACCCAAAATACAGAGTAGCTAAAGAGCTAAGGTGTCCTTGAGCAAGGCATCGAGTCCCCAGCTGCTCTCGGGTGCCGGAACACTCGCAGCCCCTTCGCTCTGACACCTCTTCATTAGTGCATGTTAGGTCCTGTTTGTGCGTGTGTGTGTGTGTGTGTATGTGTGTATGGCACCTGTTATATTTCCTCCTTTTCTGCAACTCTATTCAATATATGTGTAAAGAGATGATAGCATGTAATCGTTCTGTCCATACCAATTAAAAAATGAATTTGTCCAAATGAAAGATGCTAACAACAACATTAGTCATGACACTGGTAATGCATAACCAAGGAACAGTTCATTTTATGGAAGTTGGTTAGATAACTTAAGTTATATATATTGTCATATCGGCACAGCTCTAATAAGGTGCTTGGGTTGGTAATCAAATGTCTCCTCTCTACAGGGCTACCTGGATCGTTCTCCGGTCTTCTATGGTTTCTATACTCGTGGTACCCTGAATATGCAGTGCTTGAACACACCTCTGCTGTACCTCACTGGAATCCTCACCATCCTCTTCCTCAGTCTCATCCTGGTGGTCCGTAGGTCAGTTAGGATATAACTGCACAAGAACAAAATCGTTATATTATATAGTCTCTTTCATTACATCTTTATGAAACTTAATTTTTTGTTGTTGATTTTAGCAGCCCCTCTGGACAATAGTGGTATCGTATTCCCGCAAATAACGCAACATGATCACCCTCGCCTCGTTTTGTAAATATGTTGATCTGGCTAGCGCATGCATCCATTTTTTGGAGTGAATGGAAGAAGGACGCAAATGCATATTTTGTCATCATGCATTTTCTCATAATCACAGAAAGCTTTGCAATGCTTTGTTACTTCAACAAACAAAGCTATGTTAGCTACCAACATTAGCAAGAGTGTTATCTAGCTTTGTTAAAGTCACTAACGTAGTCATATATCAATGTAAAACCATGTCTCGCAATGTAAATCCTTAATTAAACAATACATTTTAGACCACTCTGGGAGGAAGAGTGCAAACTAAGGTTTTGAAACCTTTTCAAGTCCCAGTTTGCCGAATCTGTTCAATGACTTAACAAAGTCTTTTATATTGTTTTTTTGTTCTTGGCCCAATTATTGGGCCCTTTGTTGGTCATGACCTACGACCTAGTATCAGTAATAACCACAAAATATAACAACAACAAATACATTCTCCCAGAAAAATACCCTCCTGCTTTCTCTTCCTATTTTTGTGCTGTAAACCGTGTGATCTTGTGGCGAGCGGACCCTGTGACAAGCATTCAGAATAACTATACAGAGAATAGTCAATCATGATGCTGATGGCCTTGTTTGCATATATAGGTCATTTACGGTGGCCCTGAAGTGCAAGACACCACAGCATTTCAGAAAACACCACAGCATTTCAGAAAACACCACAGCATTTCACAAAACGCTACAACATTTCCGAAAACACTACAGCATTTCACAAAACACAACAGCATTTCACAAAACACCACAGCATTTCACAAAACACCACAGCATTTCACAAAACACTACAGCATTTCACAAGACACAACAGCATTTCACAAAACACCACAGCATTTCACAAAACGCCACAGCATTTCCGAAAACACTACAGCATTTCACAAAACACAACAGCATTTCACAAAACACAACAGCATTTCACAAAACGCCACAGCATTTCAGAAAACGCAACAGCATTTCAGAAAACACCACAGCATTTCACATTGGACGGAAAGGGTATTCCTTTAGGGCAGGGCTATTCAACTAAAATTCAACGAGGTCCAGTTAGAGAAAATCTCCCCATGCAAAGGTCCGGAACATCAAATGTCTAACTTGCTTCATGTATGAGTGTGGTATATATTGAAGTAGCCTGCAGCTTTATCAACGTCTGCATGTCATCAACAACTGACTGCCAATCAAATAAAGAAAGTACAATTCATAAACAACAATATTTATTGTCAATTAACATTGAACTATACAGATATNACAAATATTTAATAAATATAATAATAATAATAATACATTACATTTATAAAGAGCTTTTCCTGGTGCTCAAAGCGCTTACAAGCAAGTAAAACTAAATAACAACAGTTATTTAGTTTTACTTGCTTGTAAGCGCTTTGAGCACCAGGAAAAGCTCTTTATAAATGTAATGTATTATTATTATTATTATATTTATTAAATATTTGTAATAAAAAAAATACCACCATATAAAATCTGTCGTTGAGGTGATATTTTCCAAGAATACTTTCAACAAAACATCAAAACCGCTCGTAATCCTTTCATTTAGTTTCAGATGTTGCAAAAACATTTCATTTTAAGTGAACAATGTGCTTCACGCTTAATGCGCAAAATTGTCTATCAGATGTAATATTTCAAGGTTAATCGTGGGGCTGGATTCCTTTTGAAAGGCTGAAGAATGTGTTTTCATCTTTTCAAATGTACAAAACTAGAATGAATTAAGCACTGATTCACAAAAGGTCAACATAAAAGCAATCTCACACTAAAATACCAGGATTGACCCCACCATTGCAGAATGTATTTAAAACTTAATGCGGCAGTTTATATTGAAGAAAGAAAGCTCGTCCAACAGATTGCACTAATAAGAATACATATTTTTAGAAAATCTTAGCCCCATGATTTACCGTTTTTAGCTTGAGGAGAAACCATAAATAATTTTAGAAAAAATATTTTTATTTTAAGAGTAAGATAGCTACATTCATTATTTAAAAAAAAATGCATCTTAGTTTGAAGAAATGTGTCAAATCTATTTAGGTAAAGTATATTAGTGGGTTTGGCTTCACTTTGGGATGTTTTCAGGGTGAGCATATTTTATTCAATATATTATTTTTGCATAAACAAAAATTAATTACAAAATGAATTACAGTAGTAACGTCTGTTGATTGGGTATATACATATGCATATACACATCTTTATATACATTTGTATTATTGTGGGAAACGATATTTCGATCTCTGTCTGTACACACAAACTGAAAGATTGACAATAAAGTTGACTTTGACTATGACTAGATGATCCCCAGTGATGTAAATCTTATTTTGAAAATCAATGAATAATGTATCGTACCAGTAAACCTTTGCTCTAGTTGCTTCAAAAGGCAACTGTAGGACTCACAATGAAGAACACAAAAATTAAAAAATAAACAATTGGATCGTGAAATCTCATTAAGTTTACCAGACTTCACACTGGAGCCACAAAATGCTTTATACATTTTCCTTTATGCAGTCGTACTCCCTGTGACCATGAAACATCCATTGATGCGTTTCCTTTAACTATTCAATCCAAGTAATATTGTGAATCTTTCTTCTGTGAAATTATGGTAGCTTTATGGATAAAAGCACTCCAAAGATGTATTGTGCAAAGAGAACCTTTTTTGCTAAAAGAATTCTAATTTGGAGTGGAAAAAAGTTGGGGAAAAAATATGTACTTGTTTGTAGTCGATGTGAGTATAGCTGCGAAGAGTTGTTTTGACATGTTCAGTCCATTCTCTCTCCCCCTGAGGGTTTTCCTGAGTCCCCAAGGCGTAGATGTCATGAGGGAGCAAGGCAGTGGAGGCATCGGGGGTGTGTCCCAAACCGCAGCAGGTCACCCACGACTGCAGGCTGCGAGGAGGCGGGGAACCACCTGTGTACAAAACACAATACAATTACTATAGGAAATACAGTAAACGTCCCCCTCTAAATTCAACCTGTGTTGCCTGACAGTAAATTAGACAATATCTGTCGTTACCCATGTTCCAGGTGCCAACGAACACAGAGATCACATCAGGTTCACTCAGATGAGAGTGTCTGGTTTTCATCAGCTGCAGGAGTTGGCAGAAGGCGTCGCGTTTCTGAATGAAAGGAAAGCCACACAGTCAATTATGGGAAAAAGACAGGGGATTCCAGTCAATAAAGCCAAATATTCCAGGCAAAATTACTACTTTCCTTACCCGTGCACTCTCAAACGTCATCTCCCGTGGTGTGTTGTGGTGGCTGTCCACCACCATGCGTACCTTGGCCGGACTGCTTTGGAACTTGACAATCTGAAAGACTGGTACACAAGAATAATGCCAGCAGGAAATTAGACGATATATAAGCATAATAGAGAAATGTTACAGGAGCTAAAGAGGATATGTTCTTACTTCTGTCATGTGAGACTCTCTCTATACCAAATGAACCAGCCTTTCTGTCAAAGAGCAGCACTCCTGTGTCCACGTCCACAGAAACCGTCTGTCTGCCATACCTCACCATCTTCACCTGGACGCACCAAGAAAGAAAAAATACGGTTTACATTTACATGGTTAGAGGTATCGCTGCAAGTAAGTATTATTTGTATTATGGATTAATCTGCCGATTAATTTCTCGAAATATTAATCGTTTCATCTCTAAAATGTTAGAAAAAGTTTAAAATGTCCAAAGTGATATCTTTAAGTGCTTTCGTTTTATCAGTCCAAAACCCAAATATATTCCCTTCAATATGCTTTAAAACACAAAAGCGGAAAATATTCGTTTTTGAGAAGCTGCAAACAGAAGGTTCTGCCTTTTTTGACTTACTTTAACACAATTAATCCGTTATCAGTGTAATTGCCAATTATTTTACTAATACATTGTTTTGACAAATCATTGCAGCACTGGTCAGTTGAATAATTAGACGTTAATACATGTCATATTTGATAAAAATATAAACTGTTACTTTTTCAGCCTGATTTACCTGAAAGGAGTGGACTGGCAGCTGTCTGGCCTGGTTCTTGACGGAGGTTACGATGATGGGTGTCGGTTCAGGAGGGGGCGGGCTCGGCTGCACTGCCAGATTGTGATTGGTCACTGCATCTTGTAATGCTTTCAGTACCTTTATGAGCAAATAATTGGCAGTATTACAATCTAACATGTTGTCCATCACAACCAAGAGTTATTTTTTGTATCTCTCACTATGAAAACATCACCATTTAATAACCACTGCCACTAAACGTGAAAAGATGTGAGCCATTGGTAGACATCACCGCATTATCATCCATGAATCCTGTGATCATCAAAAATATAGCTTTGTGCAATTTCAAACATACCTTTTTCTCCAATGAAGAAAGGAGGCTGACCAAAGCTGAAATCTTAAACAACACGCTGTCTATCTCCATCTCTTGGCCCTTATTAAAACCATTTGAAACATAAGGCACAATGAGTTGACACATATGACTGCTGCTTTATTATTAGAAAGGACAGCTACAGCTCTTTGGAAAGCCTAATTCATGTTTTGTATCTTACCTGTGCTTTGGTTTTTGTTAAAGAGCAGCTGGGATGGTCAAAGACATTTGCCAGGGTTTCCAGACTTGAGAGAGTCAGGTCGATCTCACTGTAGATCAGATCAATACACACCTTTAGTTTGATGATTTATACCCATTTACAAACATCTATGTTTATACACTGGTACTGCAAATATTTAATAAAGACTCAAATCTATTATTTCATTATCGTTCTGTATCATCAATTGATAATATTTGTTTTAATATTCAGTTTATAGTTTAAAGATAAAAACATGCAAACCTGTTTAAGCCTTGGCACGCAGTACCCAGAGTACGCTTGAGGTGGCACAGCGTCGTTGCACCTTTGTGCACATTCTCAATGTCAAGAGGCAGCTCACTGAAGAGGTAGTCATTGAGAAGACCGATCACCTCTCCCGCAGTACTGTAAACAGGGTTTTAAAAAGACAGAATTCAGACTGTAATATTTTAGATACTGTGCAAGCCACTTTCACTCTTTGGATATTATTGGCAAAAACCACACAGAGGATAACAATCAGCTCTGTTTATTAATAGGGAGTGTTTTGCATGTTGCTTTCTCTATGCTTGATTGCAAACAGGTGCATATTTAAATAAGACTTATTTTGTGAACATAACAGATGGCTAACATTAATGTGGCACTAAATAAAGACTCACATATTTATCAATCCGACACTGTCGCATAATTAGCAGCTCTCTATTAGCAACACAAGCAGCACAGATGAGCGCTATGCAGGATTATCTTCTGGCAAACTGCATGTATGGGTCTGTGTTGTACCTGGATGTGTTCACCTCCTGCAGCTTATCCAGGAACAGGGTATGAGGGGCTGGTTTTGCTGGTGGTCCAGTGGAAGGTGCGGTGTGGACAGGGCCAGGAACTGGAGCCGGCTTCTCATCATCTGTGCATGCATGAAACATAAAAACAAACTAAATCAATACCAATACATATTGCAGAACCTGAAAGTAGCACAGATGTTAATATGTATGTATTTTGTTATTGCATATGCACAAATACACAATTCAGTGAGTCTGTACATGCTATACAGCAGGGGTGTCAAACTCTATTTCATCACGGGCCACATTAGCATTATGGTTGCACTCAAAGGGCCGGTTGTAACTTTAAGACTATATAAATATACATATATATAAATACATAATATCTATAAAATAATGTATTATATTACATAACTGCAAATAATTGCAAGTCTCTTCAGTGCGCATGTCACAAAATGAGATGCATCAGAATCAGAATATTACCAGGTAGGTTTACACATACGAGGAATTTTACTTGTGTCGTTGTGCATACATAAAAGTAAAACAAGAATTAAAAACACAGGTAGAGAACTACAAAAATAGTACAAATAATAGAAAATATTGTAAAAATATAACAGTATTTACATTGCAATGGAATGGAATCAAAAGGAATAAAAGATGGGATAAAAATTGGCAGTAATACAAAAAAAAAGAAAATTGTGGGACATGTAGTTTATCGGCAACATGCTTCTGTTCAGCGGCATGTAACTGTATAATAAACTTATTATATTCTTTGCAGGCCACATAAAATGGGGCGGGCCTTGAGTTTGACACCCCTGCTCTACAGTGTTGGGTGATGAGCTGTGACGGCAGCTAGAGGGCCCACCTGAGCTCTCATCCCCAGTGTCTGAATCCCGGGGAACAGCGTAGAGCAGAGGAGTGACCAGGCCCTTGTGCGGATGCTGGTACCCCAACACGAGATCCTCCACTGTCCGGAAACAGTTCACCTGCACCCCCTGTGTCGTCTGTGAGACACACACACATAGACACATTGCATACATGTACAGTATAAATCACATGAGCGTCTGTGCTGCTTACAGTCTGTCAATTCTTTCAGCAAAAACTGGAAGGACCACAGAAACCGTACACAAATGCACTGTAGATGATAGAGTCATAATCTACACACGCACGCAACGCACTGATGTTGTATGTAGAAACATTTTTGGATATAAATGTAGGGGTATACATACATTTTTTGCTTTTGATAATCTTGCTTTGTGTGTGTCTAAGCGAAGAAATACACGTGAGCATGGTCTGCAGTTTCAAGGCCTCGCTAAAAATGTTTGCAATTTCAATTCCTTATTTGTTCTCAAAAATGTTTATAAAACAGAGCTGATCAAATTATTTCATATGAGGCTTTTTGAAACGACACTAAGAAGGCCTACTATGCTGTCATAGTATGTCTAAATATTATATTATCTAACTATCTATCTATCTATTTAACTCTCTATCTTAAATTAACACAAATGCAAACTTGTATACTTTATGTGGTTATTATAGCGGATGCCAGCCCTCTCTCGGAAATCTTGCTTGATGGAACAAAACAGAAGTATTCATTTGCATGATAGAAAAAGGCATATGCAGATGATTTACTGTGTTAAAAGAGTCCCAGGGGAGGTTAGAATCCTCTGCCCTGCAACAAACAGGATAGGTGACATCACGGGTTTACTTCCTGGCTGCAGCAGATGTTGGCTGTCATTTTTTATTGTAGCTCAAGATTCACAGTTAATCTAAAAAGCCATCAAAAATAAAGATGGCAAGGAAGTTTCATATGTATATGTTCACATTTAAGCCACAATCACCTTTCAAACGTTCCAACAAAAACCTGCACACTTCAGTGGCACTCAAAGCAGAACAGGCAAAAATGAAGATTAAATAAACACACATGCTGTGCACAGGTGCTGCATGCATATATTAACAATGCTACTGGTCACATGCAAGAACATCAACATGGTTCACATTAGACCACACCGACAAGGCTCTTTTCCTGTGCCCTCGTTTTAGACGTTTTTGTTTTCATTTTGCGGTGAAAGAAACAGTTTTTTTAGCTCAAGCTAACCGTCTGTTTTGCCAGGACCTCTTCAAATAGTATTCTTTGTACCACAAGGATCTCTTGAAAAGCAATTAAAAAGAAATGACAAGGAAAGAGAGACAGTAAGAGACAAAATGGGTCCTAAAATATCTCCATAGCCATCTTGGAAAAGCAAAAAGGCAAGCATGTGACTTGTGAGTTAGTGGACCAAATCCAGGGAGGGAAAATACGTACTGAAGGTTAATTTTGATGGCAGTGGAAACACAACTGAAATAGCAACAAAGTGTAAGGCCTTCTTTTGAAAGCAAAGGATTTTCCAAGTCAGAGGCTTAAATACGACTGCCAGACAATCATTATTAAACTTGTTATTGGGCTTTAGAATGCAGACATTGTTTCTTTTTCTTTTGAAGCCGCAGATAATTTGTGGTTTTAGGCCCCGATATTGTTTATTTCTCTCCCTCTCTTACTTTCTCTCACCAACTGCGAGTGTGTGTGTGTGTATGTGTGTGTGTGTGTGTGTNTTTTGGTCCAGTCGGGTCTTGAACCAGCAAGCCTTTAGTTCCTTTTAGACTAAGCTAATGTTGACACTTTTAAATTATTGTTTAAAGAAACCTTTCAAACTGTCATTAAAACATCTGGAAAATGCTTGAGACAACCATGAGGCCCTCCAACTTTAACCTCTGTGTTTAACCCAAACTTAATTCTAACCTAAACCCTACATTCTCAACCATGTGTAGAAGTTAGAAATGGGAGACACACACACACACACACACACACACACACACACACACACACACACACCTGATCTGGGGGAAAAGTGTGAGCAGGTCCCACAGAGTCTGTCCGCAGGAGAAGGAACCCTGGTGTCGAGAGCCGTCCTCCATCTGGAACGCTATCCGCACCTGAAGGCACACACAATTGTAGTTTAAACATATTTCAGAAACCAATAACACTGAACACACGAACCAGTGTCCTCGATCTGTCACAACAGGTGAAACTGATCAACAACCATGAGCACTTGTGTCTCTATGTTTGGCAGCCTTCATTATGATAAGAGATCATGATTAAAGACCCTTACTGAACTTGCTTGGAAGAAAAATGACAGATAAAACTTATTTTTTTCCTAATGAAATACTAGTTAAATTGAAATCAAGAACACTTTTAAATTAAACCATTTAAAAATAGAAAGAATTGTAATAAAAAAAGGGAATGGTGGTACTAAAACTAAAGATGCATATTAAACACTTTCAAGCGTCCGTGCACTTTTATTTGACTTTAGACAATGAAATACAATTTATATACAATATAGAATATATTAAAGTGACAACATGTTACCTTAATTGCAGGATGGAAATTCATTATATTACGTATAAAAATCCTCCTATGTGGTCATGTGCAGGTTGTTGGCTCTACAGTCTCGAGCTATTTTGTAGGAAGTGGATTCTTTGATAATAGAACTTGATTAAGCTGCACATGTGGGCCGACCTCAGTGTGGAAATGAGTAACACCAGGCACGAGTATGAGTCTCTTGTTTTTTTTTCTCTCTCTGAGTCACTCTACAAGTTATTTATGTTTACACAACAACCATGTTGTCCGGCACAAGACACACGCTGCACATCGGCACACCGGGAGAGATGAAAGAGTTCTTTGGCTGTCAGCCTCAGCCAACAGCAAGCTCTCTCACACACAACCAGTCTGGCTTAGGGTGGGAGAGCCTGTGTGTGTGCACGTGTGGTATGAGTATATAAAATCTGTGAGGTATCAACAGTCAACCATCCATCAAATGAACAAGAACAACAGATCAAACCCAGCCGTGATTTTACTGCTTAGATTACGATGTCATAGGAAACTACAGCTCAGCTACAACAAAGTGTTTTTTGTGTTGTTTTTGGACACAGATCAGAGTGAAAGCAGGAACTCAGGCAGGGATTAAAAAAAATGTCTAGTAACTGCGAACAAAAACCAACAGCTGACGTCAATACCAAATAAAGAAAAACGGAATATTGCAAGGCTTAACTTTAAATATGTATGGGTGGACAAAATAATCAATGTGATACAAATACTAATACTCTGGTAATAGCATCATACTTTTCATCCTTATTTCTCATTCTGTGATATGCAAAGGACATTCAAATAAAATAAATCAATGAGTGGAAAAATCAACTAAAAATGTGTTTCCATACAGGAAAAAGGGGTCGCTGAAAGACTTGATAAAATGATGTGAATGTAATGCTATGGCATTCACAGTCATGAGATATTCATGTAAGCGAACACCTATAGCGGTTATTGGCTAACATGTTGTGACGGAAAGTGTTCTGTTGATATTATGCGTCATAAAAAATGGTATATCTAATTATTAGCATAATGTCAAGAATATCATAAAACTAACCTGGCTGTCGGCTACTGCCTGTTTCCGTGTATCTGTCACCATTTCCAGCTTTGCATTGTTGGGCAGGTTGGCAAACCTCCATGGCAGCGTGAGGTCAACAGCAGTCCTCTGAAACCTGTCAAAAGTTGATGACAAGGCAACATTACATTTGAGAAAAATATCTCTCCTCCTGTCATTCAAAATTGAGAAAAAATAATATGACCCTTTAATGAATTGAAATGATTTACATCAACTGGAGACAGCTTTGTAGGTTACATATTTTTACCTGCCCTGAGGAAATTAAATAAAAGAGTTGATATGGTAGCCACACAACTATGGAAGTTATTGTAATTTATTTTTTCTTCTCTATGGGTCACAGTCATTGATTGAATTTAACGGCTCAAAAACTCAGCTAAATAAATTGGGAGGTACCACTCCTGCTTCGAATGTAATAACTGGTTATCCATCAGCCATTACTGTTCACTACTGTTCACTGTTCATCTCACACTAAACATAGTAAAACCAATGCTGTACACACATAGGATTTCATTACGTATCAAAGTATAATTCAATGCTCAGGGAAAAAAGGGAAATACCAGGATATTAGAGCTAACATTAATTTAGCCTTATTATCAGTACTGACAGCTAGCATCATCCAAACTGATACTCACTTTAAACCATGATCGTCGGGGTTAAATCCGTGCTTTTTGCAGACATCCTCCAGCACCTGGGGCGGACAAATATAAAGTTAGTAAAATAGTTACCACTTAATAATCAAAATAGTTTGATTTCATCCGCACGAACACAGAAACTGATCAGTCACTGGCTAACTGCTGTTAGCCAAACGAGCTAACAGGAGGAGAATAGTTCGCTCTCTGGAACCAAAGGATGAGACAAAGCGTCCACGTCAGAAAACATAAACCGAGTTAAAAAAAAAACAAGTAACCTGTAATAACGGCGTGTTTGGAGACACTTTGACTGCTTGTCTTCTCCCATTAGGAGTCAGAACCGTCACAGCTGAACTGCTGGCTGCCATTGTTGTGTCGTGACGTCGTAATGTTTATTTGAATAAACTTTATTGACACATAACCGGCAGGGATTCAAGGGTCCATTCACCCACACAAAGACATTTTATATGGGAGTGTATTTTTTTTTTTTGTGGTGCTCACAACATTGAAAGTTCATATGTTAAAAAAAAAAGTAAATATGTTTATCTCTTTATATGAAGCATTGTATTTATTTATTTTTAAATGTGTTTTTCATAGAAACCATGTTTTACAAAAAATAATCCCACATAAACCACTATTGTAGATTATGCTAATTTTCAAAGCATTTTTAAATCAAGACAATAAATTACACTTCTTGTATCATTGTTATTTGTAATATAGAACACAATAGACACAAACAGAAATGTGGGTAAATGTTAAATGTAGTCTAATGTTTGCAAGTGCAGGTGTACTGCATGATACAATGTGCATTCATATTCCCATGAAGACATTCTGACGGATCAGATTAGAAAAAAAAAGTTTAAATAATTAAATTAATACGGTAAATTACATGCAACCAGGTCCAGGGCTTTATGGTTATGCATGGCTCACTTTTTGGGACATTTCAATCTCATTGCCATACTTAATTATATTTATTAGACATGTGCCTTTCCTTCTGCAACAATTCAAAGAATCTGCTTTAAAAAATGTCCATGCTTCCATCTGCCGGGCACAAGGAAAGATGAAAGTGATGTGAATCATATGCTTCAAAACACATTTTTTTATTGTTAGTAGTATTCTCCACATATTTCGTTGGTATGGTGTACATACGCATACACCATATCAACAGAATGTGGAAGGCAGAGAAAGGCCCCTTTGTAAAGGGAATCACTTGTTATGTTTACTTTTGTATTAGTCACATCCTGTGTCAACATGTACATCTACAATATCCACATTTAAAAAATATATTCAAGCTGATAAACCCATAATTTCTTTATTTTATTCATTCATTCATTCATTCATTCATTCATTTAGGACAAGCAAAGTTAGTCTCATAGATATGAACACAATTCAAATTTATTTTGATTGTGAACAAACATGTATTTTGAGTCTGAAATGTGAAAATAGAAGGTTCCGTGTCCATATAACAAATGGATGCTGCCACAACAAGAATAACTAAAGAACCCCCAACAAAAGGGAATTGTAAAAAATAAATATATAACTTGGAAAAGCTAACTTTCTCCCTGAATCTATGTATGTACAAATGTACTAATAATTGGAGTAAATGGAAAATTCATTTTGATATGTGTCAGAAGACGAGGATGTATGTGTAAGCGCATGTGTATTTGTCTAAGTAAATATGTGTCTGACTCTGTGCATGTATACATAAGCACAACGGCCCTCTCCAACGAGCATCGAGGATACCAACAAACTGGATATTGAACAGTTTCAGACTTTTGACTGATATGCACTCTCAATGCTCACTGTACAAGAGGAACTAATATATAGACACAATATATTGACAGAAACTGATCTGACAGGACGATACAAAAAAGAAATAGAAACAGACTGGAATGAAACAACTCTAAAGCTTGACTCCTTCTCTTCAACTAAACAAACAATACCAAAGTGACTCATTGACCCAATATTTTATTTCTTTTTTCAATGCTTGTCTGTTCTTTTTTTATTTCCTCTTTGTTTTCTATATTATGTAATCTAACCTTTTCAAAGCACAATAACCAAAAACAACCACCTAGCTATAGATCAAGCTGTCTGAGAGAAGGATATAGATCCTGCCTGTATAATTGGTTCCCCATGGACAACTACATACTGTATAGGCAACCATATGCAGTAACGGAAGACCTGCACCAACATGTGGAGTATCAAGGCCATTCTCTCTCAGCAATTATCAATTTGGATCAAAGCTGCATGGAATCAGACTGGTCAGACAAGACCACATGTGCTGACAACAGATGGAGAGGTGAGGCGGGGCTTCAGAGGGAATACAACTGACCAACCACTGCAGCAACATCCACAAGGTTCACCTGGGAAAGAGATGGGAGAGGAGAGAGGTGAATACAGTTCTCCGTTCAGGGGGGAAATTGCCTCCTTCTGAATAAACAAACAAACAATCAGTTTTCTTCCTCACTCAGCAGGCACCAAACATTGAAACTGCCTGTGGATGGTGTACAAAATCACAAAAGGGCATCTGTGTCTTTCACAACATTGTCCCACTAAGAAGTATTGAATCACTAATTAATCAATGGCAAACAAATGGACTTGTTAAAAGCAGGATTTCCTTTCTTGTAAACTGAAAACATATCAAAGACAGAAATAATTTAATATCAGTTTGTTTCTGAACATCACTTCAAGATGGATCCTTGGTTTGGTGACCAGATTAGTTGAAGGGTTGTTGTGACATGAATCACATGACACGCTGGTTTATGGATTTCAGAGAGATGATCTCAAAGTGTTTCAAATGAAGATGAGGCAAAACAGTTCCAAAACTAAAAGTACTCTTTACACAGAATACACATTTTTGGAATAATATACAGCATGTCATATAATAAATACATTAACCTGTTACTGGTAAAGTTATATCCATTATAGCACATCACAAACAAGTTGTTCTCAAATTCAAGGAAGAACTTTAATTAATTTAAAACGGGGAATTTTCATTTTAATCAATAACTGTTGTGATTAATTAAAATGGTAAATGGACTGTACTTATATAGCGCTTTATCCAGTCTTTAAGACCCCTCAAAGCGCTTTACATACTACATGTCATTCACCCATTCACACCCATTCATACAGAGCAGTGGACCTTACTCTAGGACCTAACATTCATACACATTCACACACCGTTGGCCACGCCATTGGGAGCAACTCAGGGTTAAGTATCTTGCCCAAGGATACATCGACATGTTGACTGCATGGGCTGGGATCGAACCCACAACCTTCTGGTTGAAAGACGACCACACTCCCTCACAGCTATATAAAAATGAAGGTTTGAACATGTGAAGAACTGGAAACGTGTTTGTGTAGACTGTATATTTAAAGTAGGCTACCCTGTTGGTGTGGTGTGACCAGGGTCTGACCCTCCGCAGTTCTCTCCATATTCTATCACTTCAGAGGCCGCGTAGTTATACGATGACAGAACATCAGAGAGACCGACCGAAAGGACTACGGGGACGTGCCAAGCATCCGCGCGCTCTTGGTGTGAGGCCGACGCCCCGAGAGGAGCGTCAGCCAATGATAATACCGATTGGCCCTCGAGATGAGGAGGAAGGAGGGGGCGAGACTTCAAATACATTTCCACTCAGTCTGCAGCTCCCCAGGACCTGAACCAGGAGTCAACAGGTCGGCAGTGTAAAGCGGCTGAATTCATTGACTTCGACGAGGGTTAAGCTGTTTTTGCCGTCTCCATGTGTTTTTAGGATTTAAAAAATGTGGGGACAGCACTTGCATTTGAGGTTAATGTTAAAACCAGCTCTCCATCTGTGAAGGCACCATGGATAACCTGCGTTCACTCTGCTCACCTTTCAATATTGAAAACTTTCAACATGTCTCCGTGTGCTTTCAAAGAACTTTCAACTCATCTAACGACTCTTAGGATATGCTGTGTTGTGCAGAAGTCTCTTGCTCACATTTGAGAGGGATTTTCCAGTAACAGTTAGACATGCGGAGCCAAGGTGTGTCCTGCCTGCTGCTGCTCTTCATCCATGTGAGCGCACCGGCGGAGGCGAGGAAAGTACCCGGGGGTAGGGCGCAACACCGGCGGGTGCAGCAGCAGCCCCCGGTGCAGAGGGAGCGTGTGGAGGGGACAGAGAGCTTCCCGTTAGACTTCACCGCCGTGGAGGGCAACATGGACAACTTCATGGTGCAGATAAAGAACTTAGCGCAGTCACTGTACCCGTGCTCTGCGCAGAAGCTGGATCAAGACATGAAGTTGAACTTTTTGAAGAATGATTCTGTGACTTGCAATGACGGGTCAGCAGCAGGGTAAGTGAGTGGAAAATGCGTGTAATCTTTGTCAATAACTAACATGGCACTGAAAGACCTGTTGGATATGTTGAAACTTTTCACCAAACGCACTTTGTGGCAGTTTAGTCCCCCACTGCCCTTCAGTCCCTCGTCTCTCAGGATGTCACCAAATTGGATCAAAGGACCAGATTTGAGGGGTGGGGGATGAGGGGGGAGAGAACAAACGCCAGAGATTATTTAAATGTAGTCAGAGGTATAAAGGATAATGAGTCCTAATGTTAAAATGTTATGTACAAATAAAGATGAAACTATAGGCTGATAAGACAGCAACTTACAATAACAGGTGTCTGTTTTTCAACAGTTGTATACAACCGCTCTCTTGGTTGCAGAGTAAACCACAGACAGATCTCAAAGATTGACCGCAGCTTTGACTAATTTGTCCCTTAAATTAAGATGAATAGGTTTATCTTCAGAAGGCTCACATGCCTCCACATCTGTATCACCACTGGATCACAGCAAGATCTCAGTTTAAGATCAAGACCAAGAGTCGTGCCAAGCATCCCACAATCATGCATTATTGTGATTAAGGGATTTTGTGTGACATGAAAGATCTTCAAAGTAATAGAAAGATATATTGCTTCTATGCTCATATAAACCTCAGTCCTTTTGACGGTATGGACTAAAGGGATCACGTGCATTTTGCAGGAGTAGGCTAACTACTCAATGACTCCTGTATCACAGCACCTTACAGGATTTGAGAGTAAATATTACAGTTTGATCAGTACAGAAGCTATGGAAGCAAATGTGGGAAAAGGATATGGTGATACAGTTAATAAGTTATACATTGGTTTTTTTATCCTGTGAAATTACAAAATAAAAGAAGGAAAAGTTCAACTGGGAAACAGTTGGTAAAAGATGTCTGTCAGTTGATGTATGTAAGTACCATCTTGTGGCCAAAATTAGTATTACAACAACAAAGAAACCTGTTTTCAAAGTTGAAAGATTAAGGAATTTAGAAAGATTATCCTAACAAAATCAGTTTTTTTTAATAGTAGAAAAAAAATGTCAGATCACAATTTGTTCCTCAATTGCTTCTCAGACAGTATTTTAAGTACTTTCCTGTATTGTTATATAGGTATTTGTGCGTGTGAATGTTTGACCAATCACAACAGAGCCGGCCAGCTAACCAATCAGAGTAGACTGGGCTCTGGTTTCAGACAGAGGGTGAAAAGAGGTGCTGCAGCACAGGCAGTATGAGGAAAATAAAGAGCTTTTTGAACATTAAAGCATGGAGAAGTGTCACATCAGAGTAGGTATTATACCTTTAGAAAAAGCTAGGCATTATTGGTACGCTTTAGTTAATTAACAAGTCCAATCTTCTATTGCTGAATTAAATAGTGTTGGGTATGAGGAATAGGATAAAGTCACCAATAAATTAAAACACTGAATAACGCAGACCTTTCCATACGTCACCCAAGCTGACAGGCCTGTGAGTGTGCGAGCTGCCAACAGCTTGACATGTTCTTTTTTTTAATAAATAACGATTTGAGCTTTTAAAGCTGCTAAACAGACTCCTACTGAGATTTTAAACAGTGCGATGGGAGCCAAATCTTTCATGTCAGCATCAAAGGCAGTATCCCTGCCGGGGAGGTTGTGTTGTGCCTGTGTGCATCTGTGTGTATCTGCACACGTATCACACTCATATTGATCTGTTTTACTGTTCTCGCGCAGGTATTACATCAAGGAGTCTAAAGGCAGCAAGAGGTGGCTGCTCTTCTTAGAAGGTGAGGACGAAACTGTCATGAACGTAGAGCTTAATGTGAAACACAACTAACCTGTTAACAAGTGTGTTTGTGTGTGTTTTAGGTGGATGGTACTGTTACAACAGGCAGACCTGTGACAGTAGGTATGAAACCATGAGGAGACTGATGAGCTCCACCAAGTGGCCACAAACCAGAACAGGTAAAAAGACACAATAAAACACTATATCTCACACACACACACACACACACACACACACACACACACACACACACACACACACACACACACACACACTAAAGCTTTGCCCGGTACGTGCAGCTTTTGCAAACTCTCCGCACAGAGCTTAAGCTTTCCCCAGTTTGAAAAAACGACCCCTGAATGAAGGAGATTCATAGACATGTTTGTGTTTCCTCTTTAGCTGAGTTTGCATTAATCTTAAGGAGTCAGACTCTGGTTCTTTCCCTCCGGCCTTCAGGGGACTCCTTGTTTGTTCATGGCTCCCTCTCCCCCCACGCTCTCTGTGTACACTGGTGGCCACAGAGCTCTTCAATGCCTGCATGTAATTGCTGACCAAAGCAGGGAAAGTTAATGAGTTTTTGACCGCAAGGGAAACACACATACAGACACACACGTCAGCTTATTAAAACTCACAACTGTACATCAAGGTTTGTAACTTCCCACTAGAAGTATTTAACCTTTAAGTAGCTTTTAACCCCTCTTAGCTTAACTAATGTTTTTAATGTGATCCAGAAGGTTAAGTAAATATGGCATCTATACCTTCTTTACTCTACAGGAACAGGAATAATGTCTCCACAGCCAGAGGAAAACCCTCACTGGTGGAACGCCAACATGGTGTAAGAACTCCTTTCTCTCCTTCTCTTTATAATATGTGTCTGTGTCAATCAATGATTTCATATCCTTGGCATATTGATGCTTTCTGGGACTATTCCCACATTGTGAAACTCTGTTCTGTTCCACGCAAATGTCATCATGATACGATACATCCATTCTTTGGACAGCGGTTCTATATTTGCTGATATAAATAAGTTTGCCACAATATGATTTTTATCAGCTGCCTGCGATCGATTTGAGACCATATCACATGCCAATTTAACACAATTTGTTACGTATCAACTCATAAAAAGTAACTTAAATACAATTTTACAAGTTCATATTATGAGCTCTGTTGGAAGGAGTTTTTTAAGGATGATGTGTATAGATGTGATCTTTGTCCGTCACACAGTCAGCTTGGTTTTATTTGTACAACTGTTGACTCTGTCATCAGTATACCTTTGATAAAAGATTTGAACTAGTGTCGGCCACAGCAGGGAGCCCCCAAAGACATAGACCACCAGCTTTAACCACTGATATATAAGGCATCTCTGATTTATCTTAATTTGATTGGAAATAATTGTAGGTGCTTCCTCTCTTCTTTAGCTTCATCCCGTACTGCTCCAGCGATGTGTGGAGTGGAGCCACACCGAAGACAAATCAGAGTAAGACTCAATAAATCAGTCGAATCACAGCTTGAAGATCTGGCTGAGGGTTTATACAGAACGACATATCGATGTCCCTGGAGAGTGGACATCAGAGGCTGTAGATGTTATACCGTTCAGCCTATTGTTTAGTTCTGGGCTTTTGTCGTGGGAAAGATGATTTATTTTTTCTCTGAAATCAGCTTTGACCATTTTTGAAAACCTTTAATAATAACCTGTTATAATTAGAAACGCCACAAACAATTGTGCAAGTGTCCCAATCTTTGATTTATAATCCCAGACTCTGACCATTCAATATCATAATATTATCTGTTTGATCTAGATCAATTTAATAATAAAAAAATGCAATAATGAAATAAAAAAATCATCGAAGTATTGCTAATATTCAAGTTGAGTGTGATTCATCAGTCAGGAGGACTTTTGATTAAATAAGAGCCTTTTGTGTTTTGCACCTGTAAACTGAGCACAGTTTTTTTTAAATAAAGAGCAAACAAATGTATCTACCTTATACCTGTTTAAAATCTCCTGTTTTTTGTATTAATACATCTTTAAAATTATAGGTGTAAACTACATCTCTCTTGTGCAAACTTCTCTGCAGCTGTGTAACATTGATGTAGTCAGAATGAGAAGTGTGCCATGTGGCTGTATGCTAAACAACATACAACATGTATGTTCTCAGGTGATTATGCGTTCATGGGCTCTCTGATCATAAAGGAGGTTGTGAACGAGCTGCTGACATTAGGTCTTGACAACGCCAAGGTGCTGCTACTGGCAGGAAGCAGGTCAGTGCTGTGTGTGTGTGTGTGTGTGTGTGTGTGTGTGTGTGTGTGTGTGTGTGTGTGTGTGTGTGGCCAACTGTATGTGTGTTAACCACAGATAAAGGCTCACCCTCTGACCCCTCTCTTCCTGTCTCAGTGCGGGCGGTACAGGCGTGCTACTGAACGTGGACCGAGTGGCGGAGCAGCTGGAGTCTCTGGGCCACGGGGGGGTGCAGGTCCGGGGCCTAGCTGACTCCGGGTGGTTCCTGGACAACAAACAGTACAAAATCACGGCCTGCCTGGACACTATCAGCTGTGCCCCCACCGAGGCCATAAAGAGAGGCATCAGGTAGGAGGGCACAAAGAGTTCAAAGACTGGTGGACGGATTAAGGGGGGTTAAGAAGTTTGAAAGAAACCCACAAAATGATACTCACCCTGTGTTACCTTACACTTTTGAAGAGCGCATTCCTCACATGCTTCCACGCTGATCAAAAAACTAAACAAGGATAACATTCTTGATGAATTGAAGTGAATGGGGTCTGCGTTTAAAAACAGCAAAACCATATGAAAACATCAGTTTATAAACTCGCACACACCTCTTGCAGGATAATCCAAGTCTCTTTTATCAAGTCTTTATGCTTCCTACACCGACACATGCATTCTAACCAAAATGTTATTATTCAAACACTCACGCTTGAACAGGGGTGCAACTTGTCAGTGTCAATCTAAAGTCAAATGAAATTTCCTAGTTGTAGTTTACGACTGGATAAATGAGACTTGGATTATTTGTGTACCAGTTTTCAAAGCAGCCCCCATTCACTTCCATTCATCAAGACATTTCTGATTTCTTCATTCACCATATATACAGATACCATTGTCGGGAGACGATAGCAATGTTTTCTTCAAGATTCCAAGGAAACACGGATGGAGAAATTGATAAACCAATGGACATTTAAGTGGGAAGGAATCATTGTAAAGTGTTGATACTTTGCAGGTACTGGGGCGGCTTGGTGCCAGAGAGCTGCAGACAGGCTCATGTGGGACAGGAGTGGAACTGTTTCTTTGGATATAAAGTCTTCCCCACGTTAAAAAGTAAGTGACAAAAACATCCAAGCCCCTCCACAGGTCTGATGTATTTGATAAAGATGGCAGGACGTGTTTCTCTTGAAGTCTGACCCTCTCTACTCTCAGGCCCGGTGTTCGTGGTGCAGTGGCTGTTTGACGAGGCCCAGCTGACGGTGGACAACATCCACCTGACCGGGCAGCCTGTCCACGAGGGCCAGTGGAGGTACATCCAGAACCTGGGACAGGAGCTGAGGAGCACGCTGCGGGACGTCCCGTAAGACTGACCCACACACACACACACACACACACACACACACACACACACACACCTGGAGAGGTCCAGTCTGGCCGGAGCCAGGCAGCAGTTCGGGGCTCAGAAGGTGAATGGTACCTCTCCAGCTACCGGTCCACACTCCGTATTTTTTTTGGTCCAATCGGGACTCGAACCGGCGACCATTCGGTCTCAAGGCCAAATCCCTACAGTCTGAGCCACTGCCACCAGCTATTGACAAATCAGATGGCGATAAATTCCTTAATTTGACAAATAAACTACCTATTTGTCACAGAAATGACAATAACCCACTTTGAATGTATCAAGGAATTTAAGTAGAAGTAGAAATATAGGATAGAAATAATTAAATGACTTTCATCAAGTCTTCAAGGGAAACTGGAGCCCCACTTTGATGAAAAAAAACTCTGAGCTCTGTTATGTGATGTTCAGGTTTCAAAACGTCGATGATAATTCAACCTTATGCTCAACAGCAGCAACTCATTTCAGAATATCATTTGAAACTTGAAGTTTGGTGTAGGATAATTATTTCATCACTTTCCTCACCGTAGGTCGATAATTCTGCCTTTTTTATAGCAACTATTAAGATGTACTAATGTTACTAAGATGTACTAAACGCATTAACTGGGAAATGAACCTCCTCTGTGGAAGATAATCATTATTTGTTGTGGACAAACTGTCACTTTAGACAACTAAAAAAGACGTTCCATGCGCTGTCAACTCTTTGGCAGGGTTAATAAAGGTCGCATATACTGTGTGTTTGAGAGTCTGAGGACGGTTATAATTAAATAAACTGGGAGAAGATGAAGCTGCAGAACTTCCTGTTCTATGGATTTTTTTTTCTTTTGCACCATGCCTAGTGTGAAAGTTTGGAAAAATAACTCTCAAACTTTATACCAGTACATTGCCGTGCAGCTGGCAGGCCTAACATATTCTATTCACAAACATCTCTTTATTTGATCAAGGTTTACAAATATTGGATTATTATTGGTCATGTCTATTTCCCAGCTCTACCATTTCGCCGTATTGAGCGGGAAATGAGCCATGGACTTATAGGGATACACAGGCTGAGCCGAGACTGGGTTAGCACTCTCTGCCATGGGCATGCTGGGATATGCTCTGGCCCTCTGAGAAGCAATAAGCGGTTTAAAGACAGGGGCTGATAAATAACAGGCAAAAAGCTATGTGATACTTTATTGATCCTAAATCTTCTGCTTATCTCTTTTGTCGTTTTTTTTCTTAGTCAGCTAAAGAGCAGCAGTGTATGACCATGAAAACGTTTTCTGATCAGCTACCTCGATAGTTAAAGGGGCCCTTATTATCATTATTTATTATTATTATGCTTTTAGGGGTTTTCCCTTTCCTGTAGTGTGTTACATAGGTTTTTGTGAATGTAAATGGTCTCCAAAGGTAAAAATCCCATCCCTCCAGAGGGAGTTTCTCTCCCACACACTCCCCCCTGCCTGAAACGACTCTATGGACTCCTTTGTTACATAGTGACATCACTATATAACACTCGCACTTCTATTGACTAGCGCCCCAACACATTGTATGTGAGAGGCTAAGGGGCAGTACATCTCTTAGCGCTTGACCAATCACAACTGAGCCGGCCAGCTAACCAATCAGAGCAGACTGGGCTCTGGTTTCAGACAGAGGGTGAAAAGAGGTGCAGCAGCACAGGCAGTATGAGAACAATAAAGAGCTTTTTGAACATTAAAGCATGGAGACATGTCACAGTAGAGGCACAAAATACGGATATGAAATCTGAAAATGTGCGTAATAGGGCCCTATAAAGTTTGGTTACAAATATATATGATATTACCATGAATAAAATAAATATGTTTAATGTGAAGAGTTCACCTGAAGTGATGTCTCCAAAGATGAGCGTCAGCAACACCACACGTGACGACACCTTTCGTGAAACCTTTACTACGTCCGCGTCGCCTCGTCCGTGGCGCGTGGACCGTGTTAAATAAACAAACATAAGATAATAACAACAAGCGAGGGAAGAAAAAAAACTTATCTCCCACGTATTGTAGTTGACCCCCACGTTACGTAGGATACGTGGGGGCATCTTGGTCCGGCCATTCGACCGGTCGAGATAACAGCAAATAGTTAGCAGATTTCTCCACAGGGCGGGGAATCGGGGATATATGCATGTTACACAACTTCGCGATCTGTAGATCCTTAGTACTCAAACGTTCACTACAGTCCTTCACTTACTGACTATGTTTAACACGGCCGAACATTACACCAGTAGACAAATCAATATCTCGTAGAACGCATGTTGACTAGTCACCCATTTTGTAACGGACCAGGGGGGATAACACCGCACGTAGACAACACGAATAGAATGACTATTCGACACTTTTACACACAAAGTGTCTATTGAGGTGTCGAACAGACAGACGTAAATGAGGAGTAATGTTTTTGCTGATGATGAACTGTGCAACCTAGTTTAACAGGACGCTGGAATGATATTTGACTTCTGTGAAGGTGGATGGTCGGAAGTAATCCGGGAAGTGTCGATACAGACATTTCACCGTCTCCCGAATGCAAAGGGGTGTAATTGTCGTCAAAGTAATAGGGTCACCGTTACTCGACAACATTTGGAATTCTATGTAATAGTGTACAGAGGGGCGTACGTTAATCGTCATTACACTCACACACAAAATTTTTTTTGTAGTATTTGACGAATTACAGACAGTGTTAATTGGTACCGTCACCTACGGACATTCGATTCTCAATAAACTACTATTGTTTTTCATAGGCATTATACTAAAGTAGGGGAGAATTATTGGGTAATAGACAACGACTTCTACTAGGCATGACCGGACTTCTTTCACGCATAGACCCAGGACACAGAGCACCGTTGGCTCTAACACACACACACCAGGTCATGAACTCCATCACCGTCGTCCTTGTCCTCCTTCCTACTTAAAGTTATTCGAAGAAATTAAACTAAAGCTCTTCTATAGAAGTGCCTAGAACGGGTTTCAGACAATTAGGTAGCCAGGGTCCTCCCACCTTCACTGTGGAGGACAATCGTATACTTACATCGTTTGGATCTCTCTAACAAATCCAGTAAAATGATTGAATTTTATACGTCCTTTTTCAGTCTACTGTTTACATCTCTATGAAACCTTTTTGTTATTTTTGTTAGCATCCGCTGCCAGACACAATCTATTCACAGAAACACTATACTCCCATGTTTCTATTAAAGTATTTTACAGTTTGATAACGAAGTCAGTATGGTACTTATTTCTTTTAGGAAATAATAAGGGTGTCGTCCTTCTAAACGTCAGCAGTGTGCGTCGTTCACCACTATGACGTTATTGTACTTCACCAGGACATGTTTTTTTTCCGTTCTATGTTTTTATTCATTTGTAAGATCGTACTATATTATTCATCTGTCCTGACTTGCCGACTTCCTTTGACATGGCGACCCCCCGTAACGTTGTTAAACATTGTGACCATAATAGGCCGAAATTACACACAACTCCCGTTTGAACAACGTGTTGTAGGGGTCGTATGTGTCTCTTTGTAGTAATCGCAGTACACACCTAAGGAGAAAGATGGTGAGAATCACCTCATTTTGAGGTCATAAAGCTATAGATGAAAATCTACACAAAAACAAAACGGAGGATTATATGAGGACCCCCTTTAAAACCCAGAGTATGGTGAACATTTTACGAATTGCTCACAGTAGTGTAAACCAACGAGACGGTCCATAGAATTTTACTCTAGTTAGTCTCGTAACGAATCATTTTGGAGTTTTACGTTGTTTTTCCTCTTGTT